CCCTCCCTCTAGTCTTACACTGCTAAATTAGGGACGGCTAGCGCAGATAGCCCTCGTGTAGCTTTGCGCGAAATTCAAAAAACAAACACAATAAATTCAAATTAACTTAGATGACAAAAGACACAAATATCTAACTTACCAAAATCCAGGCACTAATGATGTGAAACATTCAATTCTCCTGTGTGTGAAGAAGGACAAAACCATACAAAGGGTATCACAATTAGGTATGAATTGTTCAAGTCGCAAAAGGAAGGAACAGGAAGAAAGGAGGAGAAGAACAAACCTCAACCAAAGTGAACAATGTGGAGGTACAGTAACAGGAGCAGGAAAAAAAGAAAACAAGCAAAATCACCCTCATCTCGAACATACAGAAAAAAATTAACATGCATCAACATGAGTGACCAGTTGAAAAGAAGGGTGTGGAAGGTGATATCTCCTGAAGAGGTGTAGAGTGCAACAGCCAAAAATAAGAAGGTGCCCGAAAAAGAGAGAGTCCAAATTATCTTCTCCTTGATTATATTATCTCTCAGCAACCCTGTCAGGTTGAAAAGGAGAATAAATTGCCAGCAGAACAGTTGAATCTAGCTAGCTCTCCTGCAAATTAAGGCCTGTAATTCCTCTGCAAATAAAGTCAAACCCAATTCCTGCAAAGTCATATCAGTAGCATTGTTGACTGTAACAGGAATTACTGTAGTTGAAACATTGAATCACAAATTCATATGAAATTCTCATATAATTTGGTAGCAAGAAAAAAATTCAAGAAATAAAAATAAAACAATCATTGACACAATCGATTGCAAACACAGCAAAACTGCTGAAAAAAATTGAAATGGCAAATAAGCACAATCATAAACGGTAGCCACATGTGAAAAAACACGTCTAAACGAAGCTGTGCCAATCAAGAAAGAGAGGATGGAGTGGGAATATCAAAGGGAGCTAGTTGCACCAATATAGGTGGCACAGTACTATTGGTGGAGAACAGTCATATGATATGTACATGTTCAAAAATGGTACGCAATTAATGGGGTATATAGACTGGTGCACTAAGCACAAAATATTTTTAGCAATGCTTAGAGGGCAGAAAGAAGATTGAGCTAGCTTTGTGTGAAGGTAGTAAGACCGTATCAGAATTATTACTTTACACTCACAAATAAAGTTCATAGTACAGTAATAAAATCATAAAATTAAAATAGTGCAGATGTAAAAAGTTCAGAAGCTGAGACTGTTACAGTAGATAACTGTAACAGTCTTTTACAATCTGCATTCACACTACGGAAAAAAAAAGGTATTATGAATTTTATATAATATTTTTCAACTTTTCATTTCACTGTACGTTGATGATTTCACTACAGTTAGTGTACGGGCAAGGATAATTAGAGATAAAGTATAAAGTCTTAAAAAAATAAACAAACTAGAAATTCATTTAAGAGGCTTTAGAGGTTATGCCAATGAAATATGAAAATTGTAAAGTAAAAAGAAGTATTTTTTATTCTTAGCCTGAAAATCACCTTTCAGTCACACTGACTCAGTAAAGGATTCATAAATTCACAGACAACTGTTTATTAAAAATATTTTATTACAAGTTTAATTTTTTGTGTACAACAGATTTATAATGTATATTTAATGCTTGAAATTTCTGCAAAGATACACTAAGCACATTCAGAGTTATTGTAGGTATAGTGTTATGGTTACCAGGAGGATCAAATTAACAGAGCCCATATGTATAGGTTTTATGCTCTATAATTAATTATGAAGATTTGGTCCTATAAAGAATAATACAGTTCACATTTTCCCCTTCTAACTTTCCATAACATACAAAGAATGCATTTATTAATGTTACTTAAGCCAATCTAAAACCTAAAAAAAATTACTGAAGTTTCATTACAACTCATCACTGTCACAATGTGAACATGGCACTGCTCAGGGTCAGAAACATACCATATCAAAATCCTGTATTATTAACTCAAACAAGTGTATACCAATAACTCACTTTCATTTGTTGATATCTGCATAAAAGTCGTTGCAGTTTGATTGTCATTATGATATTTGTGTGTGATAGTTTGAATTAGTTGCTAAATAGTGGCTTGCTAGTAAGCACTAGTGGAATAACCTCTTAACTTGGTAGAGCACTTGCCTGGTGTGCAAGAGGTGTAGGATTCAAATCAAGCTGAAAGTAATGAATAAAAAAAAAAAATTATCACATATTCATGGCCTATTTATTGTTCATTTTTTAACATTTATCTCTAATGTAAATATTCTTATAAAACATTTTAGTTTTCTCTGCCTAATTGCAATATATTTTGGAAAAACTACATCATGAAATAAAACATGATAACAAGGAACTTACTTTTTAGAAAATAAAAGTTTTGAGACAGCTTGACTGGGCAATGAAAATAACTCATTGAAACGTTGTACATTTATAATAGTTTTTTTTTCATTACCCAGTTAAGCCATTTCAAAACTTTTACATCATAAAATGAGTCGAGTCCTTTTTGATTGTTTAAATCAACATTTCTGAGCAAAACTGAACATTTGTTATGAAGTCAATTAGAGTTCTTTTACTGATATTATCTATGGATTTGCTAAGTACTGGATGGCCATTTGAAATTTTTCTATTTTTTTCATATTAACTTTTACATTCTACATCATCAAATTTTAAGATATCAAAAATTGTTTCTCCATGCAGTAAAATAGTTGTCTTAATAGAATTTTCTGATGAGTAATTTATTACTCTTATTTAATAATGAAAGAGAAACTTTGCAGATATAATTCATTATGTGAAATACACAAACATGTACAGAAAGCAAGTTCATAATAAAGATAATTGCACAGCGTGCACTATATACTCATTAATCAGCAGCTTGTTTTGGCTAATAAAAACTGACGGCTGTGTTTCAAAATAGTTGGTAATTAGAATAGTTTACAGTCTTACAAAATTACATTTCTTAATGCACTTTTAGCAAATCTGAATATTTGCTTTAAAAAATTGTATTTTACATTATTTTGTGCAAACTCACCAATATTCAGTTGGATAAATCCAAATTCCTGACTTTAAAAAGTTCTGATACACAAAAAAAATCTTACAGCTGAATCATCACCAAAATGAAACTGCTACTTTTCTGACCACCTGCACAAGTTATTTCTTCTGTAACAAAAGTTTGTGCTGTACAAATAGAAGTAAGTTTGAAATGAATAAAGTGTAAAATATTATCCTAAATACCTAACAACGGAGTATTTTATATACTTATTAGTGTTTAATATTTAAAGATTAAGAAGAGTAACACAACAATTATGATGTTTTCATATACATAGTTTTTTGCCTTGTGCATCTTATAAAACTAAATAGTCATAACTTTATATTATTCTCAAAATAACCAAAGCTGAAATATTTTAACTGAATTTAAATTTTTTACTCTGACAAACTTCACAAAAAAGAAATGAAAAAAAAAAGTGATCGAAATGAACAACAAACTGCTCATTTTGACTTTGTCATTAGAAAACAATTTGGCTTGACATATTGTGAATGAGTTTAATTATAATATATTTACATAAAGCAAAAACAAATACTGACAATACTGACCCTCATGAAAACAAAAATAAGATGAAATTGGAGTTTCCACTAGTACTTTAACATTGTATCTCACAACCCAAAAATAGCTAATCACCTCTACTGTAGATGAGCTACACACAATATACAGTTGTTGTTTTGTGTGAACAAAGAGAATTAATAAAGAACCACAGATTACCTATGAAATCTGAAATGTTTAAGAACTCTTACCAACCAACTAATGCACATTTTCCAGTAGAGAAATGTGGACAGGAAGAATACATAATACAACCTACATTTCACTTGCTGAACACAAGTCATTTTCAGCATCTTGGCTACTCTGTCTTCAAACTTCAAGAAACTGAATGTAGCAAAAAAATGTTTTGTATTTTTCCCCCATTGAAAATCATTCTTACTGTTGACTTTCTCAGTGCCATCTATCCACTGAAAGTTGATTCATCATTTCTTGACTATATCTGCTCAAATTTGGTAAAAAAAACACAAAAAAACTACAAATACCATTGATATCTTCACAAGAAAATAAGCACAATACGAAAAAGGTATGTTACCAATGCACACTATACAACAGCAAATACAGGATGTTAATGCGATATTAAGCCATCCTACAATTCCAAACAAACACTGAAAACTGTCCAGCTTAAAGTGGAGAATTTTGTAGAATATTCACATACAAATGATAACAGACAAATTAGATCAGCATAAAACTTTTAAACCCTGCCCACAGCTTTTAAATCATAATTTCAAGTATATTTTTAGTATTTGTGTTATATAAAACACAAGATTCTGTTTATAAAGACAATCAAACAAGTTAATGGCAAAATAGCAGTCATGTGCAAAGGTAATCCTTCTTTTTGAATAAATGACACTCATGATGCCAGTTATTCAAACTAAAGTAACAACAAAGACAACCATAAACATACACATTCAGTAGTGAATAAGGTAAGGCAACAGAATTTCTGGTTATTTTATTATTAATTTTAAGAAATATACCTTTTTATATATGTATATTTTCTCTTGAGATTTTAAAAACTTTTTACTGTGAGTTTCTACACAGATTTAGTTGCATAATTTATGATTAATAATTTTATCACACTTCATAAACTCAGAAGATTTTTGAATTCACTCTCAACTTTTTATTTCTTATAAAAAGACAAAAAGCTTTTAGTTTTATTTCTCAAATGTCAATCCCAAAATATGCAGTTGAAAGCCCACTGTTTAATAGTACTGATATATATTAGATCATCAAGAAAATAATGTCACTTTTTTTAGTTGAAAAAACCCACACAACTTAAATATCTAAACAAAACATTTAGTATATGAAATAGTCTCCATTCTTATTGATGATGTTTTTCCATCTTACAATCAAGTTGTTAATGCCCTGATTAAAGAAACCACTTGGGTCTGAAACAAAAAATGTCGATGTCCTCTTTTAACACCTTCCAGATTT